TCTCTTTCTTTCTGTCTTCCTCCTCCTTTTCTTTCTTCTAGCTCTCTTTTTCATAAGGCCACACACTAGCAATCATAGCAAAGGGGAAATTTTGTGTTCTGCTGTGTCCATTTTAAAATTACACCCTAAGCATTCTTCTGTGCTGCTCTGTATAATCATTGCTTGCATTGCAAATGACTGCTTGCACTCTCTTGATGCTGCCTCACGACCTAATTCCAGCAGCCTCCCAGCGGCCTCTGGAGGGATGTTTCCCCGATGTGGGTCTGATTGGTGACCCTCTGCTTAAAGCCATCATTGGATCTTTGGGACAGAGGATGGACCTGATACCCACAGGGAACCCGAACTTGGACCCTTGTGACCCATCTCCCTGGTTCCAGTGAGGGTCCTGCAGGCAAGCTTAATTCACGCCAGCTAGATATCAATTCTATACAAGAATCTTGATCAAAGAGGGGGAGGGGGAGAATATGTGAGCCATAACATCTGATTTTTCTGGAGCCCTTATTCACTGTTGGTGGGAGTGTAAAATGGTGCAACCACTATGAAAGGCTGTCTGGCACTTTCTCAAAAAGTTGCAAATAGAAATACCATTTGACTCGACAATCCCACTACTGGAAATTTAGCCTCAAGAAACCATAACTGCCACCCAAGCAGATATATGCACGCGCATGTTTATTGTGTCTTTGTTCACAATAGCAAAAAATTGGAAACAACCTAAGTGCCCATCAACAAACAAACGGATAGAGAAGCTGTGATATATTCACACAATGGAAAACTACACTGCATTGAGAAACGAAGGAATTAATGAAATATTATACAAAATGGGTGACCCTGAAGGACATTATGCTGAGTGAACTATCTCAGTCACAAAAGGACAAATACTGCATAGTGACACTGTTGTAAAATGGGACTGACATTGGGGTTGGAGGGAGACTGAAAAAGATGGGATAAATTATGTATACTGCATTGAAACAGATGAGAGAGAGAACTGTTTAAAAAGGATATATGATTGGGTATTATTGTCATGACAGGAATCCAGAACGAAGGTTGCATAGTGGAGTGGACTTGGGGAGAGTGATTGTATAAGAATGAAAGAGTTTTTCTTTTACTTTTCAAAGAGAAGAGTGAACTGGTGGGGAGGGATGGGCAGGGAGAAAAGTGCAACAATGAATGAATGGAAATCTAGTCTCTCTAAATGTTCATTAAAATTAATAATAAAAATTTTTTTTCATGGAATTAAGATATGTATATTATTGTGTTTTCGGTTAAGGTTTGTTTACATAGCAGTTTAGATTCCCTTTCAACCACTTCTACACAACTTGCTTAGTGACATCAGTTGCATCCTTCATAGTATGTGGACATTCTCATTTATTTCTCTTCTGGTTCTTCTGTTTCCATTAATCTAGTTTCCCCACCCTCTTATACTTCATCTTTGTTTTAAAATAATTGTTGACCTTTGGTCTCACATAACTAGTTTTTAAAGTTGCATAGTACTAACATGTTAGTCATTCTTTTTTGAGACAATATGTTATTTAAACACTTGGTGACCTTAGGTAAGCTTCTGTCAGAGGTTTGAAAGTTTGAAAAGTGTTTCAGGACAGCAGTTATTTTTAAAGTCCTCTAATCTCAGCCAGGTAAGTGGGTATGGCTTTTTTATATTTTTAAGTAGTGTGGCATCAGGATTGGAGGAAGACTCATCAACAACCCATGTTATGCAGATGACACAACTTTGCTTGCAAAAACTGAGGAGGACCTGACGTGTTTGCTGCAGAAAGTCAAGGAATGCAGTTTTTAGTTTGGATGGAAGCTAAACATCAAGAATATGAAGATTCTCACCACTGGGCCAACTGGCAGCACTATGATAGATGGAGAAGAGATTGAGGTGATAACAATTACAGCTTGCTCAGCTCTACAATCAATACTATTGGCTCCAGCAGTCTAGAAATAAAAAGATTTTTTTTATATGAAACCCTTGTCTGAAATGACATTGCAAAATGTGTTTTTTTTTCCAGTCAATAGGATTTTTTTTTTTACTGTTGGAAAAAGCTTTTGATGTACACAGAGCTTTAATCTTTAAAAGGTCCAATTCATCAATTTTATCTTCTCCAGATTGAGTATTTCTGGCTATATTTGGCAGTCTCTTTATACCATAGACTAGGCCGTCTAAGTTTACAGAATCCTACAGGGTCTCAAAAAGAAAAAGACTGACCACACAGTTAGAAAACGGGAAAAAGACATACAAAGAATTTTCACAGAGGAGGATATTCGGATGGCCAACAGACACATGAAGAAATGCTCCAAATCACTGGCAATAAGAGAGATGCAAATCAAAACCACAGTGAGGTACCATCTCACTCCAATAGCAGTGGCAAGGTTTAACAGGGCAGTAAGTATCAAATAGTGGAGAGGATAGGGTGAGACAGAAACTCTTACACAGTGTTGATAGGATTGTAAAATGGTACAGCTACCCTGGAAGGTAGTTTGATGTTTCCTTAAAAGGCTGAACATAGAAATTCCACAAGACAGTTATTACACTTCTTGGAATATACCCTGAGAAAATGAGAACTGAGGCCCAAACGGAGATTTGTAAACCAGTTTTCATAGTAACATTATTCACCATTGCAAGAACATGGAAATATCCCAGATGTCCAAACACAATCGAGTGAATTGAGAAATTATGGTACATTCACACAATGAAATACTATGCCGCATGCAGGAGAAATGATTTGTAAATTACTACCTAACTTTAGAGGGACTGGACAGCATTATGCTAAGTGAACTAACTCAGTCCCATAAGGACAAATATTGTATTAGACCATTATTGTAGAATGAGTATGAGGGTCCAAAGGGGAGTAGGAGTGGGAGAAGAGGGCTGAGGATGGAGGCCTGATAATCATAGGGTCGCACAATTTGATGGGTGGAGGGAGGTGGGGGAAGGAAATGAGAAAGATCTGGTGTGAAAAACAATGTGTACAAACTTTGCAAATAAACTTGTATCAAATAAAGAAATCAAAAGATTAATTGCTCTGGGGAAGGCTGCTGTCAGGGACCTCTCAAAAGTGCTGTGAAGACTAAGGTACACCCCTTCAGGCCATGGTCTTCGCAGTCACTTGCTATACATCACAGAGCTGGACAATGACCAAAGATGACAGAAAAAGAATTGATACATTGAGCTGTGGTGCTGGAGAAGAGTATTGAAATACCATGGACTGCCAAGAGAACAAACAGGATTATCCTGGAGAGGGTGAATCCAGGCTGTTCCTTGGAGGCAAGGATTTTGAAGCTCTGTCTCACATAGTAGTAGCTCTGTCTCCTGGCACGTGGCCAGGAGAGACCAGCCCCTGAAGAAGAACATCATGTTTGGATGAGTGGAGGGACAGCACAGGAGAGGAAGACCCCAGATGAGATGGATTGACACAGTTATTGGGATAATGGGGGTAGGTGTGTTGGAGTCAATGAGACTGGCTCAAGATAAACCAAAGTTCAGAGCTGTTGTACATAGGGTCACTGTGAGTGGCAGGCAACTTGATGGAACGTAACAACAACAACAACAACATTCATTTGCAGTCTTTCCCCAGTTTCCTTCCCATTCTGTCAGGGACTAGCTCTTGTATCTCTGATCACAATGGTCAATAGTAGTAGCTGGGCACCGTCTAGTTCTCCTGTCCTGGCGACTATTTGTCCTACACAGTGTATCTGCTCTGAGTCTGTGGTTTCCTTCTTTCTCCTTTGCTCCAGTTAAGTAGAAAGCGACAGTTGTGTTTTCAATGACTACTCTCAAGTTCACCAAACTAGGATGCAGAAGGCATAGGAGTTTAAAATCAGATCAACAAACTGTGGTCTGTAGGCCGGCTGCCTCGTTGATTTGACTGTCTGTCAAAACTTGGAGTGGATCCCAGACATCCTTTAACATGATGTTCTTCTTCCTTGTTTAAAAACCTTGACCCAGAGCAAGAAATGAATTCCACATTGTGTTCCACTCAACCCCGCCCAGAAATTTCTGGACTGAAACAAAAGCTTCACCACGCATGACCTGCTGTCACCATGGGTAGTGCACTCTGATAGGGTCTATTTGAGTCTCATTTTGGTTTCATTAAATAAAAGCTAGTCAGACAGAACCTTCCAAATTCAAACCTGTGGTGTGGAGATTATTGGAACTCTCATATCATCGTACCTTATTTTCTTCCTGATGTTTGTGCTCCCTGTTCAGCCGTTAGGGAGCTTTGGTGGCCTCCTAGGTAAGAAGTTGTGCTGCCAACCCAAAGGCACCTGGTTCAAATCTACATGCCACTCCGAGGGTTAGCTATGAGTTGGTGCTGACTTAATGGCATGTAACAACAACATCACATCCATTATTATAGTTTGTTTCCCTGCTTATGGGCCATCTTCCCTGTGAGGTGTAACCTTTGAGAGCAGGACTTCCCTCATCTTGGCTCTGAAATCAATGCCTGGTAGATAGTGAAAATGCAAAGCCAAATCCATTACCATGGAGTTATTTCCTCCGCAAGTCAACCTTGGGAGTAGAACTGCTCTAGAATGCTTTCTAATAATCTCCAGGGAAGCAGAACACCAGGCCTTTCACTGCTCACACTGCTGCTGTTGACTGTATTTGAACTATGGCTTAGCGGTAAGGAATTGTGCTACCAATCCAATGATACATGGTTCTAATCCACCATCTGCTGTGTGGGAAAAAGATGGGCAGTGTCTCCTCCTGCCCATGAAAACCCACTGGAGGGTTAGTTTTGACTTGATGGTACACAAACACAACCACAATCTTTTGATTAGGAGTTGAGTGCAAAGTAGTTTGCACCACCTCAGGACCTGGTCTGGTATGTAGAAAGCCTCTGGAAATGACGGTTGAGTGGTGAATGACTGGGTACTGGGCCCGAGTGCCCTAAGCCCTCAGCAGGCTGCTTTAATGAGCTTGTCTTTCTTCTTGTTCCAGCTTGCCCTGCCCGCTGCCTTGCCCGGGGCCGCCTGGTGCTGCAGCCGTCCATGACACGATGAGTTGGCCACTCCTGGTGCTGCTGCTCCTGCTGCCCTGCGCTTCTGGACTGCCCTTCTACAACGGCTTCTACTATGCCAACAGTCCCGATGGCTGGGGTGTTGGCCACGGCCATGGCGAAGGTGGGACGCCCCCCAGCTTGGTTCTTTGCTGCTCAGGGCCCCCGTGGCCCCCCTGGTTTGTTTAGGGCCCGGGCTGGGGCGGGGGCAGGGTGCAAAAGCAGCAGCCCCTCTGCTGTCTGAGCCTGCGCAGTGCCCCCGCCTGGTTCCTAAGACAAGAGGAAGGGATGGTCTGTATGTGTCAGCCCCTCAGGCCCAGAGCCAAATTTATTTAAACTATTGCATGTACTTTTTATACTTTCTCAAAGTTCTGGCGGTTTCCCAGGACTTCAGTGTGAGCTTTTTTGAGTGCAACCAGAGTGTTTCTTTGAAGCCAGGCTGGCCGCGCTTGTCTCACATACTTTGTAACGATGTTAGGAGAGCCGATTTCTTGGAAAGGGAGATCATGCTTGGAAAGGTGTGGATAGTCAATGAGGGAGAGGAAGACCCTCTACAAGGTGGATTCATATAGTGTCTGTGGTGACGAGTTCAAGTGTGTGGAGAATGATAAGAATGACATAGAGTAGGACAGAGTTCAGGTCTGTTGTTGACAAGGCTGTTGTTGATGGCTCCTAATAACGACAGTAGAAAGAGTTCTTGGAGATTATCTTGGTCGGGGTTCATTGGAGAAGCAGATCTAATATGTAAATATACACATTTTTGTATCTGCATGTATAGATATACATGTAAAAATATAAAAAGTACATGCAAATAGACATGCTTATGTATATGTTCATATTAACATATATACAATTGATTTTAAGGAGTTGTCTCACACAATTGTGGGAACTGGCAAATCTGAAATCTGTAGGGCAGAGCAGCAGGTCATGCAGAAGCTGCTGTCTTGGAACACAACGACTTCTTCAAGGAAACTTAAGTTTTGTTTTTAAGGCTTTTCACCTGATTGGATAAGGCTCACCACAATATCAAGGATAATCTTCTTTAAAAAGACAGCCGCATGTCATTGTTAAGCATGCTTACAAAACAGCTTCATACCAACACCTAGATTAGTGTTTGATTGAATAACAAGGTGCTGTTTCCCGTGGTCTGACAAAAGGACAAAGAATGTCTTAGCAAAAGTGTAGCCAGGGTGCTCCTCAGAGGCAAGGATTGTGAAATGTCCTCTCATGGACTGTGGTCATGTCAGGAGGGCCTGTTCCTTGGAAAGGGACATCATGATTGGCAAAATGCAGGGTCAGTGAAGGAGAGGACGACCCCTCAACAAGATGGATTGATGTCAATGGGCTCGAGTATGTTCAGATCCATTCATAGGGTTACTGTGGGTCATAGTCAACTTGATGGCACTTAACCACCACCACAACAACATAGCTGAACTGAGCCCTGGTGGCGTGCTGGTTTAAATGCATGTCTAATCACTGAAAGGTCAGTGGTGTGAACTCACTCGCTGCTCTGTGGGAGAAAGCTGGCCATCCGCCCTGTGGAGAAGCCTTGGAAAGCTGGCAGAGCAGCTCCACTTTGTCCCATGTGGTCGTTAGGAGCAAGATTTGTTGACTCAACCGCAGTGGGATTTTTATTTATAGCTGAGCTGCCCTAGTTACCCGGTGCTTCGGTAGCAATAACAAAAATATACCACAATTGGATGACTGAAGAACAGATTTATTTTCTCACAGCACCTCAGATGCAGAGAAGCAGAGCCAGCTGTAAAATACATGCATTTGTGTATCTGTGTGTGTAGATACAGATTTGTATATGTTGTTATCTGTGAGGCTGAAAATTAAATGCTGACCCATGGCAATCTCATGGGTGGACCTGCCCCGGAGGTCTTTGCTGGTTGTCACTTTTATGGAAACAGAAGGCCACTCTTCCACAGCACTGCTCAGTGTGTTCACACCTCCGTGACCAGGGTGTCCTCCTTCATCTGTTTTGTTGTTTGTTGTTGTTAGGTGCCATCGAGTTGAGTACGACTCATAGTGACCCTATGAACAAAAGATCGAACCCTGTTCTATACTGCGTATCCTCACACTTCCTGACACACAAGAGCCCATTGCAGCAGTTACCGTGTCAGTCCTAGTTGAGAGTCCACCTCTCCTTTGCTGGCCCTCCTGTTACTGTTGTTATGTGCTGTCGAGTCAACTATGACGCACAGCGACCCTGAATCCTGTCCTATCCTGTGCTATCCTCACACTTCCTGACACAAAAGAGCCCATTGCAGCAGTTACCATGTCAGTCCTTCTAGTTGGGGGTCTACCTCTCCTTTGATGACCCTCCTATTGTTGCTGTTATGTCAACTATGTTATATCAACTATGACTCACAGCAACCCTGAATCCTGTCCTATCCTGTGCCATCCTCACCATCTCCAGCACACCATATTCCAATCTAAGGTCTCTATCTCCAGTGCTATGTCTAACAGTTTTCCTCTATTGTTTATAGAGCTTTCAAAGGCCCACTGTTTCAGAAGTGGGTGGCTAAACTTTCCTCCTAGCCTGTCTTACTCTGGAAGATCTGCTTTAGTACAGCATCCAACAGACAAACGCTGTCCACATGAGATCAGGTGATAGACAAGCACCAACAAACCTTGTAGAGGCATCTACTGCTCGTGTCTGCCTCACATCTTCCTTGTGTGTGCGTCCTGTGCATTTTCTCTTTTTATAACTAAAAAAGCCCAAATCCTCAAGCTTGTTGCTTCCAACTTAATGTTATATAACAACAACAACAACAATAATGTTACAGAAGGAGCTCACCAAACCTTTCTTCCACAGCACCGCTGGAAGGATTTGAACTGTCCACTTTTCAGTAGTAGCCAAGCACAAATGCATTGTGTCCCTACCTGTTGCTACTGAATTTGTTTAATCCTGTAGAGCCTTACAGGACAGAGTAGAACTCCACCATGAGGCTTCCAAGGCTCTACTCTTGAAAGAAGCAGACTATGATATCTTTCTTTGTTGAAGCAGTTGGCAGATTTGAACCATTGACATTTTGGTTAGAAGCTGAGGCCACTAGGCCTTCTTTCGAGACCCTCTAACAAAAACCAAACTCACTGCTGTTGTGTGTATGCCAACTCATAGCAACACTCCACTGGGTCACACACTGTAGTGGGACGAGACTGCCCCTCCTTCTCCTGAAGAGCTGCTGGTGGAGTCAAGTCACTGGTGCATCAGCGTAGAGAGAGTTCATGGTGAGTCTGTCTTGGTCTGGAAACTTGGTTCGTTTATTGTATCAGAAACTCTGTGTTTGTTTCCCTGAGCCCTTAGTGCAGTCTCCTCTGGAAGTTCTGTCTCCACCTCACCAGGTCTCCTAGGGCTGGGGGACAGTCACGTGGACTGAAGAATGAAGAGAAAGCTTCCCTGGATCAGGGTGTCGGGCAAGGAGACTCCAGGAATGTCAGTCGTGGTTACAAGACCCACCTCATGGGGAGATGCTCATGTTGTTGCCTGCTACCTCATTAGCTTCTTAAAGGAGTTGTTTTTCCATTGAGATAACATGCATGTGACTTAAAATGAGCCATTTTAAAACACATAACTCAGTGGTTATTTACATTTATGTTATCGTGCAACCACTATCTCTATCTAGTCCCAGAACACTTTTGTTTACCCCAAAAGAAAAACCCATGCCCAAAATGAATAAACAAGCAAACATTCATTTCCCATGTTCTCCTGCCATGGGAGCTGACAACAAATTTACTGTCTCTGTAGATTTACCTATTCTGTATATTTCTTATGAATGGAATATTTTTCCTTGTATTTCACTTAGAATGTTTTCAAGGTTTATCCATGTTGTAGCAGGTACCAGTACTTTTTATGGCTGAGTCATAGTCCATTGTATGAATTGAGCACACACAAACACATTTTGTTTGTTTGTTTGTTGCTGGACATTTGGGTTGTTTCTACGTTTGGCAGTCATGAATAATTAATGTTACTGTAAATGGTTATAACATATCTCATCTCTTGAGTCCCTACTTTCAAATCTCTTGAGTGTATCCTTAGGAGTAGAATTGTTAGTTCAGTAGAAATCAACTTGATGGCATCTAACAACAACATGGTAATTCTATGTCAAGTTTTTGAGGAGCCACCAAATTATCACTTGGCTTCTAATGCATTACAAGCCATCCCAAAATGTAGCGGCTTAAGATAATAGCCATTTACTTAGTTCATGATTCTGTAGGTCAGCACTTTGGGCTAGAGTTAGTCGATGCATTTTTCAACCTTGGCTGTGCTCATTGATGCTGGGGAGATGGCTAGTCTAGGTTGACGTCAGCTGGGACAGCTGCGTCTGCTCCTCTGGTCCCTTACTCTCCAGCAGGCTAGTGCTGGCTTGTTGTCATAGTGGTTGCCAAGCTTCCAAGAGGGAGAGTGGAAATGGCTAGGCTTCCTGAGGCGTAAGCATAGGTATAGCACTTTTAGCATAGTTACTTAGTCAAAGCAAATAGCAAGGCCAGTACAGATTCAAGGGGCAAAGGAAATAAAGTTGATCTCTTGGCAGCAGGTTCTGCAAAGTCATACTGGAGAATGGATGTATCCCAGGAGGGCGGACAATTGTAGCCATTTTTGCACACTGGAACCTGGAGAGAGCTGGGAGTGAGGGTGGGTGGTCACCACATGAGTTTAGTTGTACTCCGGCTCTTCTCCATCTGCACCCTATTTCTTCCCACCTACCCACCAGGCCTCTTCAATGGAGTGAAGCTGGTGGTGGAGACGCCAGAGGAGACCCTGTTCACCCACCGTGGGGCCAATGTGACGCTGCCCTGTCACTATCATTACGAACCAGCTCTGGCCTCCCCGAGGCCCGTGCGCATCAAGTGGTGGAAGCTATCGGAGAATGGGGCCCCAGAGAAGGATGTGCTGGTGGCCATTGGGCTGAGGCACCGCTCCTTTGGGGACTACCAAGGCCGGGTGCACCTGCGGCAGGACAGGCCGCGTGAGGTCTCACTGGAGATCCGGGACCTGCAGCTGGAGGACTATGGACGTTACCGCTGTGAAGTCATTGATGGGCTAGAGGATGAGAGCGGCCTGGTGGAGTTGGAGCTTCGAGGTGAGATCCTAACTGGGGCTGGGTAGTGCAGGAGCCTGGAGTAGGTAACAAAGACCCTGGGAAAGCATTCAGCCTTCGGAGCGATAGAAAGGAGCACATGTAATCTCCAGAACAGCTCTATGGATGAAGCCATTGTCATTACCCACATTTTACAGTTGTGGAAATGGAGCCACAGAGAGTGACTTACTTGACCACAAAACTTGTAAATGGCACAGATGGGGCTTGAAGCAGTCTGGCTTAAGAATCCACTATTCTCTACTCCTTCTCACTGACCTCCCTTTCAAAGATGTGGCTGGTCACAAGCTAGCTGGAGACAGGGCAGATTCATGCACACTTCTCAGGCAATACAAATGCATGAGGCCGACCCAGTGTGAGGCAATAGGGAGCAGTGAGGACTGGGGCACACCACGAAGTTCACAAACACACCTGTTGATACTTCTGCAGAGTTCAGGCCCAGTGTGGCCAGATCTTCTGATTAACGAGAGAAACTTTTATTTTTGTGTGAAATCTCTGGGTATTTTTTTTTAAACCCTAGTTTTAGAAAACATGATATTGTCCAAATCAGCGAGACCCTGAAAGCCAGATCTTGCCTGTGTGATCGCTAAGCTGCTTTTACCTTCTTTGCCTCCAGGTGGCGCTGTGTGTTCCCCTTTCTAATACCTGCCTGAAAGACAGCTCGGGTGTGGGTCAAAGCCTCTGGGTTCAGATGACTTGGGATTGAATTCATTTTCTCCTGTCCTAGTGATCCCTGGTAGTGTAGTCCACAGGGCTTTGCGCTGCTAACTCAAGCCCTCCTCGGGAGAAAGTTAGCCTCAGGTCCCAGTTGGGAGAGGGCCCTGCTGAGAGCCAGCGCTGGCAGACAGCACCTTCTCCCTGGGCCCTTGAAACAGCCTGGAAATCAGGATGGGGTCCAAGTCTGGAGCTGGGACATTGGCATGCTGATGAACTAATTAGAAAGTAAAAAAAACCACAACACTTTCTTTCTGAGAATGTGCCAGCCTACATCAAGGAGGTGTGGATGTGTCTTAGATTTGTGAACTCTTGAGAGTGGACGACAGGAAATGGCACGTTTTCTGAGGAGTGGTGTGTGGGTGCGTGAGCATGTGCGTGCGTGTGCATTTGTATATGTGTGTGCCTATGTGCGCATGTTGCTACGTAACATGTGCATGCCACATTTTTGTGTATATGGGCATACACATGTGCATACACGTATACATATACATACATTTGTGTGTGTGCACTTGTGTGTGCAAGAAAGACATGTCCCATTGAAGATGGAGACTCCGGAGTGTCCCACTCGCTCGGCACCATCCGCCCTTCGACGTTTCTCTTGCCTCTCTCCTTAGGCGTGGTCTTTCCCTACCAGCCCTCCGAGGGGCGTTACCAGCTCAATTTCCACGAGGCGCAGCAGGCTTGTGAGGAGCAGGACGCGGTTCTGGCCTCCTTCGAGCAGCTCTTCCGGGCCTGGGAGGAGGGCCTGGACTGGTGCAATGCGGGCTGGCTGCAGGACGCGTCCGTGCAGTACCCCATCACGCTGCCCCGCCAGCCATGCGGCGGCCTGGGCTTGGCGCCCGGCGTGCGCAGCTATGGGCAGCTGCACCGCCGCCTGCACCGCTACGACGCCTTCTGCTTTGCCGCTGCCCTCAAGGGTGAGTGGAGTGGGCACACCCAGTCCCAGGGCTTGGTGGGGGGGTCTGAGGCCCACACCTCACAAGCCTGCCCAAACCAGCCCATAGTAGTGGCTACTGCCTTAATTCACCTGTCAGACATTTCCTGATGCCTCCTGGGTTTGAACTGTCAGAGAGCCCTAGTGACCTAGTGGTAAGGAGCTGTGCTGCTAATCCAAAGGCAAGGGGTTCAAATCCACCAGTTACTCTGTGGGAGAAAGATGAGCAATTTCTTCTGTGTGATTCACAGCCTCTGAAAGTTCTAACTCCTTACATAGTAACAGTGACTCCCTGGGGCCTAGATTAGGCTCTGGGCCATCTAAACTAAGGAAAACAGTCTGTTCTCAAAAGGTGACCAGTTTCTCGGGAAGATGGTTATCATTGTTTTGTGTACCTTCGAGTCAGAACTGAATTATAGCTGACCTTCCAGCAGGTTTGCAGAGGAAGTATATTACACACGAGGATATTGCCTATCTTACTCCCATGAAGCAGCTAGCAGATTAGAATCGTGGACCTTTGTCTTAGCAGAGCAATTATTATTTACCTTCATCACCACCTCGCAAGCTCTTTTAAAGAGCACCTGGAATACAGTAGTCATTTGTAGCTCCAACCTATGGTGCCCCATGTGTGCAGGGTGTAATTGCCAGCGTGTCCTCTCCGCTGTGGCCTGGCTCATTCTTCTAGGGCTTTTCTGGTGTGTTCAAATCAGCAGGCTTCTGGTTAGTAGTAGAGAACTTAACCATTTGTACCCCAGGGATGCCTGGTACCTAGTAAGTGACCCATCAGTGACTGTTGGGTGAGGCTGGTGAGCGCCCACCAGGGTGCAGTTAGAGAGGGGTGATAGAGGAGGACAGACCTGTGGGCCCCAGCCCTGTGGCAGGTGGGGTGAAGCTCTAGGAGCAGGGTAGTGCCTGGGAAGGCACCCCAGTGTCACTGCGTGTGCCCAGATCGTGGCGGCTCGCTGGGCTCAGACAGCTGTCAGCTGGGTGATATCTGGACTAGGTGACATTACCGTAGGCCCCTGAGCCCTCTGGCTGCCCGGTCCTCATGCCTCCTTACTCCACAGGGCAGGTGTACTACCTAGAGCATCCCGAGAAGCTGACACTGACAGAGGCCAAGGCTGCCTGCCAGGAGGACGGTGCCCAGATTGCCAAGGTGGGCCAGCTCTTCGCTGCCTGGAAGTTCTGGGGCCTGGACCGCTGCGATGCCGGCTGGCTGGCGGATGGCAGCGTCCGCTACCCAGTGGCGCACCCCCGTCCCAACTGCGGGCCCCCTGAGCCTGGCATCCGGAGCTTCGGCTTCCCAGACCCACAGAACCACAAGTACGGGGTCTACTGCTACCGCCAGCGCTAGGACCCGGGTGCAGCCTGGTGCCTGCCGGCTCTTGCCACAGCTGGGTGCTGATTCACTCTCCTTTGAGGGCTAGGGCAATCTTAGTGTTGTTTTTATACTTTGGAATTTTAAAAATGTTTAAGTATTACTATTTTTAAAAACTTAACGGGATCCAAATCCTCCATTTGCTCAGTGGAAACCCTCCGCCAAAGACTCATTCCTCTAGGAACCCTTTAGCCCCTTCGCTAGGACACTGGGGGAGAGGCCCTGTGCCCTCCCTGCTCTGGGGATGCTGTTTGCACAGAGGATCCTGTGCGTGTCCAGGGGTCTCTGAGGGGCATAGCTGGGCTGGGGCAAACCTTGGCCTTCCCCAGCGTGTGGCTTCAGCCTCAGTGTGGGGGAATGAGAGGGCTTCTCTCCTCTGCTGAGCTGCTGCCCATGTGAGTCCCTCAGAGAAGTTGTGGCTGGAAGAGCTCCCTAGACGTCTACTTAAAATTGAGACACTTCCCTCCCCTTCCTGCCCTTCTTTATCCTTTTTTTTGGTTCCGAAGAGCCTGTCTTTTGTTCTGATTTTTTCCCCATTTGGGGAGCTGCTCTCAGGTGTGTGTACTTTCTCTGGACAATAAATGGTGCTGTGACCCTGTCCTCAGTCCCAGCCTGCCTCTCTGTCTCCTTCTGTCTCTGACCCAGGGGTATGGGGGGGCAGCCCTTACAAGGTGGTTGGATGGTGTCACCTAGGATATGTGTTGGAATCCCTATACCTAAGGGTTCATGCCTTTGAGTTGTGGTGTTGGAGGACTGAACATCCCATGGACTGGCAGAAGAACAGCAATTTCGTATAAGTGCCACCAGGGTGTTCCTTAGAGGCAAGGATGGTGAAATTTGGTCTCACTTACTTTGGGCGTGTTCTCAGGAGGACTTGAAAGAAGACATCCTGCTAGGAAGGATGGAGGATCAGCAGAAGAGAGGGAGACTCTCAATCAGATGGATTGACACAGTGACGTAACATTGGGCGTAGCCATATCAGAGATCATGAGGCGGCTGGGCGTAGAGCAAGGTTTAGGTCTGTTCATCGGGTGTCTGTGAGTCATAGTTAACTCAGTGGGATCTGACACCACTACAACACTCCTGTGGCGATGATCTTACGTGGTTCTAGGATTTTCTTATGATAAGAGGTCCTATCAGTGGAGGGGAGGACTTAAACCTGGTCTTTGTTTATTTTTTAATTGTAGTTTGAGTCACAGTTTACAAAATCAATTGCTTTTTCCTTCAGGCATCCATATACATATTTTTATGACATCAATTACCACATATGCAACATAACTCCATTTCTTTGCACATTTCATTATAATATTTTGCCTTGTCTTCCCGAGCTGCTCATTGAAGTCTTCTACGGCTCCCTAACCTCTTGATTTCTTCCCTTTGCTTTGGGTTCTCAGTGCCCTACTGTAATATTCAGATTCTCTGCTGATATCCATTTTGGTCTTTTCTTCTTCCTCTGTCTTTTTGCATTCTTCGTGAATGATATTCTTTATATCCTCCCATAGCTCATCTGGTCTTTGTTCATTATTATTCAAGGCCTCAAATCTGTTCCTGAGATGGTTTTTAAATTCAGGTGGGAAAGACTCAAGATCAAATTTTTATTCCTGTGGATTTGATTGAACCCTCTTTTTTAATTTTAATTTAATGAAAGTTTACAGAGACTTTGGATTACATTCATTCATTGTTGCATACTTTCCTCCCTGCCCACCCCTCCCCAGTTTACTTTTCTCTTGGAAAAGTAAAAAAAAAATCTTTCATGGTATACAACCCCCGCCCCTCAGTCCATTCCACTATGCAGCTTTTATTCTGGACTCTTGTCATGACAATAATACCTAATCATATGTTCCTCCTAAGTAGTTTTCTCCCACGTTTATTTTCAGTAAGTCTATGCAGTATACATTATTTATACCCTCTTAGTTTCCCCCCTAACCCTGATGTCTGTCCTGCTTTACAACAGTGGCACTATGCAATATTTGTCCTTTTGTGACTGAGATATTTCACTCAGAATAATGTCCTCCACAGTCACCCATTTTTTATATTTCATTAGTTCCTTGTTTTTCAGTGCAGTATAGTATTCCATTGTGTGAATATACTACAGCTTCTCCATTCGTTTGTTGAAACACTTGGGTTGTTTCCAACTCTTTGCTATTGTGAACAAAGCTGCAGTAAATATGGGTGTTCATATATCTGCTTGGATGGCAGTTCGAGTTTCTTTAGGGTATATTCCCAGTAGTGGAATTGCTGGGTCATGATAGAACCTTCTTTAGCTTTATTTTGAACTTGCATATGAGTAGTGATGGTCTGCACTACAATCAGAACCTGGCCTGGTTTTCACTGCTGATATTGAACTTCTTCAGCGATTCTTTGCACCGATATAAGTGATCTGATTCCTGTGCATACCATCAGGTGAAATTCATGTGTATAGTCTGTGTTTATGTTTCTTATAAAAGGTATTTGCAGAAATAATCATTGTGTTGAATTCTATCCTTCTATACCTAGTCTCATTTCTGTCACCAAGTCCGTGTTTTCCAACTAATGATCCTTCTTCCCTTTTCCCAACGTTTGCATTCTAGACACCCATAATGACTAATACATCTTTGTTGCATGTTTGATCAATTCTGACTGCAAAGATTGGTAGAAATCATCTACTTTCTCATCTTTGGCTTTGGTGTTGGAGCATCTCGCTCAGTATTTCTTAAGCTAAAGGAACTAAGGAACAAATTCAAGCCTCGAGGTGCAGTATTTAAAGATACTATGGGCAGAATATAGAATTATCTAGGAAGCATTAAAAGAATACAGAACGACTGCAATCCCAGAGGTATGTGGTTCAAGTCTACCAGGTTCTCTGCTGGAGAAGGAGGAGCAATCTCCTCCTGTACCAGTCAGATCTGATCTGTCGGTACACATATATACACACACACAAAATAATAATAAAAAAAGGTGGAAGGAGTATACTCAGAGTCACTGTACCAAAAAGAATTGGCTGACTCAGAAGAACTTCATAAAACAACATATGATTAAGAAGCATTGGTGATGAAAGAGGAAGTTCAGGCGTCTCTGAAGAATTAGCAAAAAACAAGGCCCCAGGAATTGATAGAATACTAATTGACATATTTCAACAAACAGATGCTGCCCTGGATGTGCTTATTAGGTTATGCAAAAAAATCTGGAAGACAACTGCCTGGCCAAGTGACCGGAAAAGATCCATATTTATTCCCATTTCAAAAAAAAGATGACCCAACAGAGTTTGGAAATTATTGAATAATATCACTGTAATAAAATGCAAGCAAAATCCTGCTAAAGATTGTCCAAAAACAACTGGAACAGTACATTGACAGAGAACTACCAGAAATATAAGCTGGGTTTAGAAAAAGGTCCTGACACTAGAGACATTATTGCCAACGTCAGATGGATCTTGGCAGAAAGTAAAGAGTACTAGAGGAATGTCTATCTGTGTTTCATTGACTATGCAAAGGCATTTGACTGTGTGGATCACAACAAATTGTGGCTATTGAGGAAAATGGGAATCCCAGAACACTTGATTGTGTTCATGTGAAACCTATCCTGGCAGGAAGCAGTCCTCAGAACAGAGCAAGGAAGTTCAAAATCATGAAAGGAGTGTGTCAGGGACGTATCCTGTTTCCATACCTTTTCAATCTATATGTGGAGCAGATCTTTGGGAAGCTGGGCTTAATGAAAAAGAATGTGTCATCAGGATCGGAGGGAGACTTATCCACAACCTGCATTATGCAGATGACACAACCCTGCTTGCTGAAACAAGAGGACCTGAAGCTCTTGCTGCAAAAGGTCAAGGAGTGTAGTCTTCAATATGATTGAAGCTCAACAACAAGAAGACAAAGATTCTCACTAGTGGACCAATTGGCAGCATCATGATAGAGAAGAGAATTAGACTGTTAACAATTTCAGCTTGCTTGGCTCCACAATCAACACTGTTGGCTCTGGCAGTCAGGAAATTAAAAGACAAATTGCACTAGGAAAATCTTCTGTCAGGGATTTCTCCAGAGTACTGAGAAGCAACAATGCCAGTCTAGAGACTATAGTGCTCCTGGTCCAGGCTATGGTCTTCACAATTAATTTGCTATGCTTCAGAGAGCTGGACAATGACTAAGGATGACAGAAGAAGAATTGATGCCTTTGAGTTGTGGTGCTGCAGAAAAGTATTGAACATACCATGGACTGTCAAGAGAACAAACAGGTCTGTCTTGGAGAGGATGAAACCAAGTTTCTCTGTGGAGACAAGGATTTTGACGCTCAGTCTCACATATTTTGGGCACGTGGCCAGGAGAGACTGGTCCTTGGAGAAGGAAGGACATCATGCTTGGAAGGGTGGAGGGACAGCAAAGGAGAGGAAGACCCTGGATGAGATGGATTGACAGAGTAACTGGAGTAATGGTGGTAGGTGTGTTGCAGTCAGTGAGACTGGCTCAGGGTAGAGCAGAATTCAGAGCTGTTGTACATGGGACCACTATGAGTTGCAGGCGACTTGACGGCACATAACAACAACAAACAACGTAACTACTTTCTTTTCTCTATTATTCTAGTTTGTCAATCCTTCTAGCCTACCCCTTCTTGCCTTCTGACTTTAATCTCTGGTGTTATCCTTAATCTTATTGGCCTACCTATTATTTGGCTGTAAGTTGATCCACAAATTTGAAGGGTGACTAAAGGCTGTATAGTCTTAGGAGGTTCTATCAGTCCTTATAAGTCTTATAAGTCAGTCTATTTAAGTGTTCCTGGCTATTTTTGTGTTTTGTTCCATCATTTTGCCCATTTTGTGCAGGACCTTCTACTGTGTCCTCCTTGTAGAGTGGTCACCAATGGTAGCTGGGCACCATCTAGTTCTTCGGGTCTCAAAGTCAAAAAGCTCGAGGTTCATTAGCCCTTTGGACTCGTTGTTTCCATGCATTTTCATTTCTCTTCCTCTTCTTTGTTCTGGACAGATAGAGACTAATAGTTGCATCTTACATGACTGCTTGTAATCTTTTAAGACCCCAGTCACTTCTCACCCAACTAGGATGTTGAATATTGTCTTTATCTATGTTGTGCTAATTGACCTTGATGTTCCCCAACTACAGTCCTGAGACCTTTGGACCAACAGTTCATTTCCTCATGCGTTTAAGTTGCTTAATCATAAGGTAATTATGATTAAGACTTTATATAACTTTGCCTTGGTTGGCTCTGCTATATGTGCACATGGATATATTCACAGTATTTTCTGATATGAATATAGAAAAAACAACTCCAAATCTATGTATGATCATAGGCAGGTCGGTTCCTTTCACCTGTCCATATAGAATTATCTTGCTTGTCAGCCTGAATATTTGCTGATAAATTGTTGTTATTGTTGTTAGGTGCTATCAAGTGGAGCACGACCCATAGTGACCCTATAAATAACAGATTTGAACCTTGTTTATCCTGTACCATCCTCACACTTCCTAACACAGGAGAGGCCATTGCTGAAATCACTTTGTCAATCCACCTGGTTGATGGTCTTCCTCTCTTTCGCTGTTCCTCTACCCTTCCAAGTATGATGTCTCTCTCTAAGGAATAGCTTCTCCTAGTAACATGCCACAGTATGTGAGATGAAGTTTTATCATCTTTGTCTACAAGGAGCACTCTGGCCACATTTTCTCCAAGAAAATGTTTGTGTTTTGGCAGTCCATGGGATATTAGGTGCTCTTCTCCAACACTACACTTCAAAGGCATCTCTTCTTCTCTCATCCTTGTTCATTATCCAGCTCTCAGATGTGATCAGAAAGATCATAACCTGAATCAGATGCACTTTAGTCCTCAAAGTGCTATCATTTCTCCTCAGTAATTTGGAGAGGTCCCTGACTGCAGACTTTCCCAGTGCATTACGTCTCCTGATTTCCTGACTGCTTGTATCAAGGGTGCTGATGGTGGATCCAAGTAAGATGAAGTTGTTGATAACTTCAGTCTCTTCTCCATCCATCATGATTGCTTATTGGTCCGGTAGTAAGAATTTTTGTTTTTTCTGACCTTGAAGTGTAATCCTTATTGAAGAGGCTATATTCATTGATCTTCTGCAACAAGTGCTCCTTCTCACTTTCAGCAAGCAACAAGGACAAACAGGATTACATACACAATCCCACAGTATCAGCAACAGTAAACATTAATCTAATCTCATAGGATGTAGAGGAGATAGTGTCCCCTAGAAGATCTGGGAGGCCAGAGATCTCAGGGAGCAGACCTGTATGCCCTGCCCTCAGCGCCGCTGCCAGCCTCTTGAAACCAGAGCTACTGCTTCCCTGCGTGCATATCTCTGCCACTCACCAGTCTGTCTTTCACTAAGTCCCTGCTTCTCAGTGTGAACCTGGAACCAGCAGTGTGGGATCCACCCTAGAACTTGTTAGAACTGCAAATTCTGACAGATGCTCAAACTTGAAAACCACTAACAGAAAATTGTGTTATTAGGTAAGCAGTTAATCAGTTAATTGCTGTTTTTGTTATTGTGTGCCATCGAATCAGAAGGCACACTACCCATCTTTCTCCTGAAGAGCAGCCGGTGATTTTGAACCACGTACCTTCAGGTTGGCAGAGCAGCTCCTTACCACTAGGCTACCAGAGCAATTACGTTGTTCTTAATCTCCTACTATGTGACCAGGAGTCCCTGATTGGCACAGTTAATGCACTCAGTTGCTGACTAAATGGTTGATAGTTTAGATTGATTTAAAGATGTCTTAGAAGAAAGGCCTGGCAAGCTGCTGCTGAAAGATCACAGCCATTGGAGAGGTCCCATGAAGGACAGTTCTGCCCTGACACTTATCGCGTCACCATGAGACAAGTCCATGGCAACCTCTTTTTTTTTTTTAATACTATGTGACTTGATACTATGTGAAGAGATTGAGATTGTACACAGCTTTAGTTTGATTGGCTCTGTAGTCAACAGTCTTGGAACCAGCAGCCAGGAAATTAAAAGGTGCATTGCCATGGGAAAGTCTGCTGTTAGGGACCTCTCCAAAGTACTGAAGAGCAATGGTGTCTCTCTGGAGACTAAGGTGCATCTGATACAGGCCATGGTCTTCGCAATCACTTGTTATGCATCAGAGAGTTGGACAATGACCAAGGAGGATAGAAGGAGAATTGATGCCTTTGAGCATGGACTGCCAGGAAAACAAACAGATTCATCTTGGAGAGGATTAAACCAAGCTACTCCTTGGAGGCAAGAATTCTGAGGCTTTGTCTAACATACTTTGGATATGTTGTGAGGAGAGACCAGTCCTTGGAGAAGGACATCATGCTTGGGAGGGTGGAGGGACAGCGCAGGAGGGGAAGGCCCTCTTTGAGGTGGATTGATTCAGTGACTGGGATAATTGGGATGGGAGTGTCAGAGACAGTGCGATTGGCACAGGACAGAGCGGAGTTTAGGGCTGTTGTACATAGGGTCGCTATGAGTCGCAAGCGACTCGACGGCACATAACAACAACAACAACATGTGACTTGATGTTTCCAGTCACTTCACATGAATGTGAAAGTTGGACAATGAATAAGGAAGACTGAGGAAGAGTCAATGCCCTTGAATTGTGTTGGTGCATAATATTAATTATACTGTGAATTACCAAAATAACTGGAAAGAGCTCTCTAGTGGTGTAATCTGTAGGGAGCTGAGCAGTTAACCTACGCTTGGTTCAGACTCTGTGGTAATAGGTTTGAGTTTGACCAAAAGAACAAATAAGCGTGTCTTAGAAGAAGTGCAACCAGAATGTTCCTTACGGGTGAAGCTAGTTAAGACTTCATCGCACACATGTGGACCAGACTGGAGAAGCAGGTCATGCTTGGGTAAGTAGAGGGTCAGAGAGAGGAAGACGCTCAAGGAGATGGATTGACAGAGTGGTTGCGTCTGCTACCCTGTGACTCACCTGACCCTCAGAGCTCTAAGCTGTAAGAGAACAGGTGGACATGTGCGCACTGGGTTGCTCTCAGACTGTCTGCAAAGCTGTTAAAGGCCTGTTATCCCAGCAGTGCACCTGGTGATGATCAGCTCTGGTCTCAGATAAGGCTGAGGCCACCAGAGACAATCAGCTTCAAGTTCAGAGTGGACAGACCCTCAGGAACAGAGATAGCAGTGCTGGAAATCACCTTTGATCTCCACACCCCACCTGAGGGGAAGCCATGGCCAGGAGGTCAGCCTTGGAAATAGCATGGACAAGTGCTTTTAGGGCTCAAGTTGAGTCAGTGTGGCTGGGGTCCTTCAATGTCAGTTTAGTTGGTGAGTATCTTTGTGACCTTGGACACATTATTTAACCAGCTGACTCAAGCATATGCATATGCACACCCCAAAAGATGGCAGCATGTATGTACAACACAGGAACACAAGCGTCAGTAAAAATCACCAGGCCTGGTGAGGAACAGCTTAGGCGTGCAAACCAGGCTGCTGATAAAGTGGGGCTGCTGGGATAGACTGCATGTCCCACAGCCCCACTCAGTTTGCTGGAGACGAAAAGAACAATTGAAGCCCTTTTGATGACATCCTACGGCCTATGTAGGGGAGGAGTGCCCAGGACTCTGCTAACAGCCAATTACTGGTTTCTGTTTGTGAAGCTCTGATTTTGCCTCTGTTCTTCGGACCAGTGTGCCGTGTACATCCTCAGGTGTGAGGACACCGTGTGCAGAGCTGTTGGACTTGAACTGCTCTTGGACAGTGTTTCCACTTGCAAACGCACACACAACTCACACACAGCACAGGCCACTCATGTGACAAGTCACATCCGGGCATGCACGCACATGCCGCACGTACGTGTGCACACACCTGAACCACATGCTTTATAAATGGACACGTTGGTAGAGAAGGCATCAGATATGATCGCACTTTTTAGAAAGAAAGGGCAATAGACACAGAACCCCAAGGGTCTCCTAAGAGATGGGGTTCACACCAACGTGGGACCATTGGATCAAGACGTGTTTTCATTGCTGCCGTTCCTAAGAGCCCCTTTAGGGGCTCATGGCTGTCTTATCTTAAATAAAAATTTTAAAAAAGGGAAAAGAAAAGAAAGAAATAGATCTCTTCCAATGTCTTTATTATTATTATAATTATAATCTTCAGTTTTCAAAAATATAAATAGGTGCACGGAACCCTGGTGCCAGCACGGTCCTGGGGGAGGGGGAGGTTGGGAGCATTGGAGGGGTGGGGTCAGGATACTCCCACCGGGGATGGAGTGTCCCCAACCCAGCCCTGCTGAGAGAGACACCTACTAGGGTGACAGATGAAAAGAGAGGACCCTGGAAGAGGGACCCTGGAGGGAACCTGACTCCCCCGCGCTCACCCTTGAGGGACCCCACCCCACTGCCCCAGGCGACAGATGGCCACAGCCCTCGTGGCTCTGGCTCTGTCTTGTCCAGTACATTCAGCTGAGGCTTTGGCTCCTTCGTCTCTTCTCGTCCCGGGGCCTCTGCCAGCAACGTTCAGCCCTCCGCCCCTCCGCCCTCCTCCTTAGCTCTCCCTGGAGAAGAAATAATCAATTGCACTGCTCTTGGGTAAAGTCAGGAAACAAAAAATAATCTTCTTTATTTAACTTAACCCCTCCCCTTCTTCCCCTGTCCCTGCACTGGTCCCCGGAAAGGCACAAGAGACTGAAGAAACGTCTCTAAATTCAGTCCATGGGTTACATGGGTTTGCTTATGCTTTGGTATGTTTTTTTGAGGAAATAAAAATTAGATGCAATTCTGGCATTTTGGGGCTGGGTGGGTGGGTGCACACACAATGTGGGATTTCATTTTTCCTTCTTTAATGGAATTCCTTATATGACAAAAAGCGACAAGAAGAAGACACCATCTGTGTGGAATGCACTGTCAGCTGGGCAGGGCTGCTGGGCTCAGTGTCCTGGGCACATCCCAGAAGCGTCTCTCAGTGGGTGGAGCTGGGGCGGCTTCTCTTGGGGGACCGAGAGCTCCTTTGTCGTTTGTAGGTGGCAGCTGGGGGAAACAAAGGGGTCAGAAGAGTATCGTGAACCATTCTGGGAAGAAAGTGGGGCCAACCCTAATCCAATCCCCACTTTGCCTCATGCACGGGGCTGCCCTCCCAGCAGAAGCCCTGGTCAAGGGCTTGGGCAGGCAGCCTGCAGCTTTCTTGTCTTGCCTGCCTTGGGTTTATTTTGAACCTCCTTGACCTGAGGGGATTCTGGCTGGTGTAGGAAAGGACATCTGGTCACCCATTTTCTTCATCCCATCTGTGAAAGGGACTGTTTCTCTGCCTAGGCACCCATCCTCCCTGGGGCCCAGGGACTCCCACTGCCCCCTTGGTCTCACAGCCCTCTCTCAACTCTGGATGGTGCAGACAGCTGACCAATGGGGTCCCCAGGTGGGTGAGTACTGCTGTGTTCCCAGCAGAGAGAAAGTAATTTTGGCAGAACTGAACCTTAAGCCCAGCAAAGGGTAGGAGGGGAGATGCTCACGGTCCGTGCAGGTGATCCGAGGCTCCTCCCAGTGCCCACTGGGCTGGCACCGGACGGTGGGCACATGGCGCTGTATGAAGCCCTCGGTGCACTGGTACCGCACCAGGGAGTTGATTTCATACCGGTCCTTCTTCTGTCCCAAGGTTCTGGCGTGCTCCACCACGGGCGGCTCTCCGCAGGCCACTAGGGGACAAGCACTCTTTAGAAAGGACTCTCCTCCGGTCTTCGTGGTGACCTGCCCTGGTGATGTGCTGGTGCAGTGTAGAGACTGACTCTGAGGAGACAGCCCAAGCCAGGACTCCAGAGTTGGAGGTGACCTTCCGAAGCCCAAGGAGGTCCTGTAGAAGGGGCATTGCATCCCCAGCCTACAGGGAGTCCTGGCTCTTGGGTGTAGAGCATGTTCATGCATCACTAAGTATTGACTCCCACATCTTGGTGCATCAGCGACAGAGCAGCAAGCAGGCCATAATGAAGGTCTTTGCAGCCCCTACGTGGCTCAAAGGGAGCCCTGGTGGTGCAGCCCATAGGCAGGTGCACTGCCAACCCAAAGGGAGCAGCTCAAATCCAGAGGCTCTTAGAGAAAAAGATGGGCAACCTCTTCCTGGGCATTTTACAGCTTCTAGAAACCTGCTGGAGGGTCAGATGGGAATCAGTTCCATATTGGCAGCAGTGAGTTTGAATCTTGTTTGAGGTGGTATAAATGGTTAATATGCTCAGCTGTGAACTAAAAAGGAGGAAGTTCAAGTCCACCCCAAGGTGCCTCATGAGAAAGGCCTGGCACCTGACTTCCAAAAAAATCAGCCCCCTAAAACTTCTGTCACTGTGAGTCAGTGTCAACTTGATTAAATTGGTCTTGGTAACAAATTGTGACGCATCCACACAGACGTAAAACAAAAGCCAAACCCCCTCTCATTGAGTCAATCCCAATTTATGCCAACCCTGTGCATGGTGTGAGTAGATCTCCGCCCCACCAGGTTTCCAACGGCTGTGGTTCCACAGAGGTAGACCCCCAGGCCTTCCAGGGTCCCCAAGTCGATTCACACTGCCAACCTTCTCGTTAGTAGCTAAGTGCAAATGGTTTGCATTATCTTGGGACCAACATACATTTATACAATGGAGAATTGTATGAAAAAGAACTGTTGTTGTGTTGTTATGTGCCATTGAGTCGTTTCCGACTCATAGCGACCCTATGCACAACAGCTCTAAACCCTGCTCTATCCTGCGCCAACCGCACCACCTCTGACATACCCATCCCGATTACCCCAGTCACCGAATCAATCCATCTCATAGAGGGTCTTCCCCTCCTGTGCTGTCCCTCCACCCTCCCAAGCATGATGTCCCTCTCCAAGGACCCGTCCCTCCTGGCAACATGTCCAAAGTATGTCAGACGAAGCCCCAGAATCCTTGCCTCCAAGGAGCAGCTTGTTTTAATCCTCTCCAAGATGGATCTGTTTGTTTTCCTGGCAGTCCATGGTACATTCAGTACCCTTCTCCAGCACCACAGCTCAAAAGCATCCACTCTCCTTCTGTCCTCCCTAGTCATTGTCCAACTCTCTGATGCATAACAAGCGATTGCAAATACTAGACTAATGAAAAGAAATGAGCGATCAAGCTTCTGATGGACACGGGGGAATCTTAAATGCATACTGCTAAGGGAGCGCTAGTGGCCCAGTGGTAAGAAACCGCACTGCAGTCCCAAAGGCATGTGGTTCAAATCCACTGGGTGCTCAGCAGGAGAAGTGTGGACAGTCTCCTCCTGTGTGATTCACGGCTTCTGAAAACCTGCTGAAGGATTCGCTACAGGTCAGTTCCTACTTGATGGTACACAACGACATATGAAAGAAGCCGTTCTGAGAGGGCTGTATTTACTGTATGATTTTAACTATTTGTTTAACTATTTGTATTTACTGTATGATTTTAACTATTTGACATTCTGGGAAGAGCAAAATGATACCAGATCAATGGTTTCCAGGGATTCAGAGGAAAGTGGGAGGAATAAATAGGTGGGATACAGAAAGTTCTTTGAGGCAAAGAAATCATTCTGCAAGATACTGTAGTAGTGGATACAGGGCATGATGGACGCGTTAAAATCATCTAACTATATAGCATAGAGAGTAAAGTCGCATTTGGACAAGAACAAACTGGGAGGAGGGTAGAGAGAATAGTGCAACAATGAATGAGTGGAAGCCCAAAATCTCTGTAAATGTTTATGAA